GTGCTCTGTATATGAAATACGAATTGTAAAGCATTCTGCTGTCATATATAACAAATTAAAATTTAAAAAATAAATAAATAAATAAAACTGGTTCTATCTGAAAATATCTGTAAATATTTTCTTCAACTCATATGCTAAGTTTATGATTTGAAATTATCACTTGAGATTAACATACCTCTATTTTCTGCCTTTCAAAAAAGCAAGAGAAATATCTTTTTCTTCATCTATATTCAATTAGCTAGAAAATTATGCCCAGTTCATTACTGACTTTGTTGGAGTGATTGTGGAAATGCTGTGTGCACATTTAAACTAAAATGCTCTATAGCATATCTGATTTATTTTGAAATACATACAAACACACAATGCAAAATAGAAAATATTGCTTATATATAAAGTAATAATAAATAAGATGAAGTCTATAGTAATTTCTGGTACTAACAGAAATTCTGTTACTAATGAATATGAGCAGCTATCATTTATTGAGCCCTTAGCATGCATGAGACACCTGGCTAAGTGTTTTATATGGGTTATGTTATTCATATAACAAGCTTATGACATAAAAACAATTATATACATTTTACAGGTGAAGAAAACTAAAGCTAATTAATTTACTTGAGATATCATCAAGAGCAAGTAGCAGTTGATAATTTAACCAAGGCAGTCTGACTCAAGAACCTGTGCTATATAAATAAAGTATAAGCCTTTTCTTAACACAAACTCGCCTTTAAAAATACTAAATTTAGCAAATTCCTTTTATATATCAGCTAGTTAATAGCTTCAATTCTGTCTTACCTTATAACATCTTACCTTATAATATCTTAACTGTCTTAACTATCTTACCTTATAATATCTTCTATTGTCATATTTAGACATATTTTTTAACTGAAGAATAACTCTAGAAAGGAATTCTTGTTTGGGATATAAACAAAGTTAATCAAGAGACAGAATCTAAATAACATATATCAGTTTGAACTGTCAGTGAAATGCTATGCTTTGTGCTTTCCTTAATAAAATCTTGGACCAAGCTGTAGGACCTTAAGGTCTTGGTAGTAGTACCTGATGTCTACAATTTTACTCTATCTGCACTAAATAGATGTTACTGAAATGATCACTGTGTGGGATTATACACAGGTCTTTAATAAAATCAAATCCAGAATAAAGGGGCCTGGCCCCACCACAAAAGGCAACATGTGAAACAATTATGATTTGCCAGTTCCAAATAATATACTTTCTTTAAAAAAAAGAAGGCAGCATGTGAGCATAAACAATCCATACATACTTTGTAGGCAGATGGCTCTGCCCTCCAATTCTGTCTCTGCTACTAGAGTTGTGTGAAACTGGACTGATTGATTCCTTCACCTGTTTGAGTCTGTGCCGCAGTCCGGCTGCAGCAAAATAACCGGGGGTGACGAGCAACTTGTGTACATTGATACAGCAGGAGTGGGAGCCGTTTATTGTAGGACCCGAGGGGTATATATATATATATTCCACACAGCTTATCTTAATTAACATAAACTAGATACAGAAGTCAACCAATAAGGAATCTCCACACTTAATGGCTCGCTGGCGTTACTTCACAAACCACTCCTTCTGCAAAATGCCAGGGGCCATTTTGACTTGTTCACAGACTCTAACAAGTCTGATATCCTCTTGGAAAACCATGAAATAGAACCTGTATAAATAAAACAGGCAGAAAAGTAGACACACAGCCAGACACATTGTACTTGTACAACAAATATGAGTTTCATTGCTCTTTGCCCTGGCCGTGGTCTACAAGGACATACTCTTAGACCAGCAGTCAGTCTGGGAGCAGAAGGCCCTTCCCAACCACTCCCCACTGGGACATCTCTGTGGGACAGCAGTGTGCAGTAACCTGTGCTCATAAAAGTAAGTGATATCCACAAGGTTTCTTACCATGAAAAAGGAATATTTGTGATGCATTTAGAAAGACCACCTCATCTTTACATGTGGAAGATAGCTCTTCATACTGAGGCCTGCCTGCCCACCTACTTATCCATCTAACTATCCATCACCTGAATGGAAAACCTGGCTCTGACACTAAACAAGGAACTCTGTTTTTATGAATGTCATTCACTCTCTTGGTGCCTCAGTTTCCACCTCTGTTCAAAATAAGAACAATAATAGTATACAGTTTAAGGGGTAATTTTAAGAATTAAGAGTTACTATATAATGTGATTAGAACAACAGTACTGGTACCTTGTAGCTGTTCATTAAGTTATTTGTATTTTTTGTTGTTGGGTTTTTGTTTGTTTGTTTGCTTTGTTTTTGTTTTTGTTTGTGTAACAAGAATTGAACTCAGGGGCACTCAACCACTGAGCCACATCCATGGCCCTATTTGGTATTTTATTTAGAGATAGGGTCTCACTGAGTTGCTTAGTGCCTTGCTTTTGCTGAGGCTGGCTTTGAATTCATGATCCTCCTGCCTCAGTTTCCTGAGCCACTGAGATTACAGACATGTGCCACTGCGTCTCTGGCTAAATTATTTGTATTATTAATGTTTTAAAATATTATTAAAGATTAAGAAACAGATTGGGAAATTATGGCTTCCTCTGTTTCACAGCTAGTTAATGGCAACCCACAAGCTTGGAATCAAGCAGGTTTATGCATGCCAAGTTTCAGTTCTTTCCATTATATCAGGCAATCTCCCCAAAAGGAAAAACACAACTCATCTTCTGTTATCTGAAAGATTCACTTACCCAAAATACTTTAACTCCAATAACTAAATTATTATGGTCTATCATAAGTGAAAAAGCTTGAACTGTGCAACTGTACATATTCCTGGGGAATCTAATCTCAGACCTGTTTGAAAATCTTATATTTACAGGTGTTTTATTCCAAGTATTATTATTATTTGGCTATTACCTTTGACTGTGGAACATTGGTAGAAATCTTTAAATGAACAGAATGCTTTGGTAGGTGGAGAAATACAGATTTCTGAGTAGAATGTACAGAGGTTTAAAGAGGAAGAAGTAAAAGAGCAAGGGCTCTTCCTGAGAAGATGTTCCAAATTCAGTATTTGGTGAATTGAGGGATGAGGCAGTATATTTGTCTACACATGAATGAGACAAAAAAAAAAAAAAAGAATAAGAGTTAGTGATTTATTTTCATATTTTTCCTACTCTAAGTGGTTGGTGGTTAAAGAGACATCATCCATTTAATAACAAGGTTTTTTTGAGGAAATATTATACCATGATTGACATACATGCTGATTACAAAATGCACAAACCTCAAGTGTTAAAATATAAAAACCCCTGTCTCAGAAAGGAGAAAATAGTTACAGGATGATACTTAGAAATGTACATATGAATGAGGATTATTGTACACAGGACCAAAGAGGAGAGAAGACAGAAATGAAATTTACATGTGGGGGGGGCACCTGAAGAAATGAGAAGCTTGGTGCCAACTTGAATCATGGGCACATCAACAAGCTGAGAGGCTCAAATTCTGTTATGAAAAATTTATGCAAACATATAAACTACAAATGCAAAAAGAAAGTCTGGGTGACTCATATAATTTTAAACTCCCTTGTTTCTTGGTTGCAAAGAAACTTCTCTATGGTATCCTAAAATAAATAAAAAGTAGATTAGATCATTATTACTTTCTCTCAAAAAAAACTCCATATTCAAAACACATAGAAATAATTTACATAATCTTCCCATATTTTCTTTCTCTCAAAAATTTTCCTTTCTTCTCTAAGAACCCCAAACTCTGCCCTCTAATTCAGCCTAATCTAAACCATCACTCTTACTCCTCTGTCTCTTTCTTCTCATTCCTACTTTTATTTTCTTATTGTTGCAAAATCATCATACATCCAAATAATGTCTACAATGCCCACATATGATTTGAAAAGGTTTTAAAAATGAACACCTGTGTACCTTCACTGGGCTTCATATTTTCCTCTAATCCTATTTTCCTCTGCAATCTGTGAGTTGCATTATATTGAATTTTGTGTCAATAAATAGTTGTGTTTTTACATATAGTTTTAATATATACAAATGCATCTCTGAACAATGTGAGTTTTAGAACTTGATATTAATGAAATATAATTAGTAAAAGCTTTCTATGACTTCCCTCTTTTTCCTCTATATCTCTGAGATAAAACCATGTTGATAAGCATTGAATATCTCATTGAATAAATGTACTACAACTTACTTATCTAGTTTACTGCTGATAGAAACTGAGGTTGCTTACAGGTTAGAGTTATTAAGAAAATTGTTTTATGAATATTATTCTATACATCTCCAGGATGCATATGTCATCGTCTATGAAGGGCACATATTTGGGTCATAGAATATGGGCATGTTATTCTGTATCTAATAATTCTAATATCTGCACTGAGGGTTTATTTATGTATTTATTTTTTGCTGATTATATTTTATGAGGGCTTACGTGGATTTACTGAGTCTTGATTGTGACTCAAGTCCCTGGGAGTTTTATCTCTGAGAATTATTTAAGATCAGAGATTTAAATTGTACTGTATGAGAAAGGACTGGGATTTCTACCACCCCTGGGGCATTAATGATGTCCATTCACTTTATCCTAAAATGTCATCTGAGCTTTTATTTGGAGCCCATGTCTGTATTTATTACGAGGTGTCTTAGAATTATTCAGAGTCAAAGTGAAGACAAGAGTAAGAAGTCCCTCTGCCATGTGGTTTTCACAAGGAGTGGGCTGCTATTTGGAAGAGTAGGGGGCTCCCAGCTTTCAAAGTCTCCATTCTGACCTCTTGCTCTTCTCTGGCTCGTAGGCTTTGTTTCTTCCCCTAGTCAACACATGGCTATCAGAGCTTCACAGAAGGCTGCTGCCCATGGATTCATGCTTTCACTTCATTTTTGACCTCTATCATTTCCTCTTTCAATTCAGCTTAGACATTAATTAAAAATATGATCTTAATATTTTAGTCAACATCTTCAGGCATTCTCTACCTCAGGCATTTAGACCATATTGCTGGAAATTGTGTTCCTCTTTCTTCTTCTAATCCTATTTCTTTTCTCCTCTGTCGCTGGTTTCTAGAGGCCACCTTTGCATCCTCTTTATCTTGCTTTTCACCTTCCTTCGCCTTTTCCTTCTTTAATTTTTATCTCTCATCTGTTCTTGAACCAAAGCTGCTAGGTATTACTCAAGGGCATCTAACATGTTAGAAAAGAGGAGTTGTCAGCTCTGATTCTCTCCTTCCTCAGGCACTAAGCAGGACTCTATATGTCAATTTACCAATCTGGATTCATAAGCACCATTGCAAGACTTTAAAGGTCATCCATATTGTCTGCAGTTATGTGCCAAGTTCTATGGTAAGTGGTTAACAAGCATTCCTTCCTTAAATGTGAAGCTTTGCCTATTCCTATTTTAAGAACGAGTAAACCAAACCGCAAAAAGTTAGGTCATTTAATTGAAGGTTGCACAATTTAGGAGAGGGAAAGTAAAACTGAATATTCATCTGACTTCTAAACCTAGGTTCTACCCTTGCTCACAGGCTGCCTCCCCAAGAATTAATTATATCCTGTATATGTTGGTCAGCTTATAATAGGCAAATAAGAAATTGGATTGCACACACAACTGAGTTTATGATTGTTTACTTAGGAGAGACCTCAGAAGAATCTCGTGAGCTGTAGCCAACACTTTGAGGCAGGAAGCCTGATGCATGAGTAGGTGGGAGTGGTATGATCTCTCAGTACCTCATCTTCATAGAAAAATACCAGCTTCCCTGGAAAGGAGATGGCTGGGACTCTGAGACAACCACATTGGGATGTTCTTGGTCTCATTACCAACTCTTTGTTACCAGTATTACTTGTGCCTATGAGGCTAAAGAGAGGAAACTCTACTATCATTGATACCAAGTGGTTAGCTTGAGACCTTTGTTAGGTAGAAAGGTAAGAATTGAAATGTCAACATTAGGCTTATTTGGTTTATTTTCCTTTGGTTACTTGGATTTTTTTTTCTTCCATTTTAGCTCTATTACAACAATCAGCACTTTGTTAGTTTCCATGATTTAAGTTTCAATTATTGACAATGCAATAACCAGGGCAATTTCAGGTTATGTATAACTACCAAGAAACTCCAGTATCAGCATTTTGGTTAACTTAGTTTCTAATACACAATTCACTTGGGGAAGCAAATGCTGATTTATCAGCTAGAACTACTCCCAGGGGGGGCGTTACCTTTCTTCTTCCATCTAGTCATGATGACACTGAATGGCCTTTCTCCCTGATTCTAAATTTTGATGATACTTAGGGATCTAATCATTTAGTCTTTAGTGAATTGCCAGTAAAATATCAACTCCTTAAGAATTAGAGCACAAAGCAAAGAACATTTTGCTGTTCAGTACACTTCTCTCCAAATAATTAAATCAAATCCAAGTTGACTATATGAAATGTGAGAGGAGTGGACCCTGGGTAAAAAGTTAATTGTTAAATTTTTCATTTCCTGAGTTGGCTTATGTTCAATCGAACAATTATTGTGCGTTACTGCAATACTAGAAATATTTGTAATTTCTAAAGATTCATAATATATTTGTTCTAACATATTAGGCACCTCATCAGATCTGAATTTTTCTTTTCCCTCAACTACTTCTAAACTGATTTTGTATCCTTCTGTATGTTCCAGAGTTAGGTGAGTAAAAAATGTTCATGTGCTTCAACTCATCTGTATCAGCTGTATCTGGGAAAGACTCTTCAGCCCATCAGTGTTGAAACTGTCACCTTCTGTTTGAATGAAGTTTCTTAGAACAATGAATTTCAAATGGTAAGCATAGTTGATGTCCAGGACCCACATTTTCCTAGATTCATTGTGTCTGACAATCCTTCTACCCCATCCATTTCCAGATGTAACACAACCTTGACCTAACAGAACTGCTCCCTCCAGGCACAACAAGTCTTTTATGGTTGCCTTCAATCCCAAACAGAGGGCCTCTCCTAAGCAGGGATTGGAAATTGTGCCAAATTGCACATAATTGTGCATGATGAATTTGTAATACAGGCTAAAACTTGCTGGGAACTCAGCTGAGACCACCAAATTCATTTAGTTGGGTTTGGTTGGAGGCCAATCCTTTATTCACTAACCTACAAAGTCTCTGGAGCTTTTATTTGCTCACAAAAATATCTGAATCCAGCACTAGAATCTTTCTCTGCACGAAAACTAAATTGGTTTGATGTTGCTTCTCATAGTTGGGCTCCTTGAAGTACTCCAGGGGATTAAAAGTTGGAAAAGAGAAGTGGTTTTGGAGCATAGCACAAACAACTCTAGATGCTGAAAAATTAAATTTCCCTTATTATTTGCTTTAAGGAGCAACACATCGTTAAGTTCAAAGTCATAAATGGAAGAACTTATAATCCCCTCCCATCAAATCCTGCAACCACAGACATTTATCAAAAAACAACTTCCAATTTCAAAAAGAATCATAAACATTAGATATAATGATCAGTAAAAAAGCTGTTGGTGAAAATTGGAGTATATCAAGTGAAACACACTAAGAGGAAATTCACCAACATTTTAATAGCCGTTATTTTGGGAGTAGAATGATTATAGATGATTTCTCTGTTCTTTTCTCTATTTTCCAAATTTTCTATAATGTGACTTTAATACTCTTTATAACAGAAAAATACACTTATTGGAAAAGAACCCTAGATATTTTGCAGATGGTTTCGTTTCTTCTCATGCCATTCACATACTGCTGTAAAATGTAAACCTGTCGACAGTCAGACTAGCGTGGGCACCCAAATTTAGGGGAAAAACAATACCATCTTGTATTTTGTAAAACTCCTGCATTCCACAGGACTCCAAACACATTTAACAATCTTCATTTCATGATTCCAACACCATTTTTTTCTAAGATATGTTTCTTAACCAATTGTTAACTCCTGGGATTCCCTCTTATTGAGATTTACTTATACTTATTTGATGATATAAAATGCTGAATAGGGGAAGTTTACAAATAGATTTTTTTTTCCATTTTCCTAAGGGAAAATTAAAGGGTCAGGATTATGCCCAAGATCTACTATCCACAGAACAGATAGGAAGGGATAGCTCTCTCCTGCCACTCAAATTTGAGTGTTGATTGGTGGGCATTGGTAGGATTTCTCATGTTAGATGTTGGAATTTTCAAGACATATTCATAAAGTGCAGTGACTGGTATTTTGTATAAGATAATACTTTGATGCCTTTCCTATAATGCAGATTATTTAGAGTCCCTGTTCCCATACCCTGAATTAACTAGTAATGCCCTCCCCTCCAGTCACTGGGAAAGCAAAAAAATCTTTCCATTAATTTATGGTTGACTCTCTTTGGTCCTTATTAACATAGGGTACCTCACTTATTTACCCCAAAGAGTGAAATGATATCAATACTGCTGGCTCCATTTCCAGAAAAGGGAACTGAAGTTCAATGAGTTTAAAAATCTTACTCAAAATCTTATACTTATCAAATGACAGAATCAGAGCTGGAACTCACATTTCTGACTTCCTACAACCCAGTGCACTGAAACCATGACAAGGCTGTTGAAACTAGTTTCTTATTCCTTCGACATGTTTTTGTGTAGCTCCTAAGTCACAGGTTTTCAAGTTACTATTGCTTCAATTTTGCTTCCACTTCAGTTCAACTCAGTCTGGAGTCAAAGCCAATGACAGATGAGCAGAAAGAGGCAGCTGCCAGGGGATCCGAGATGTAGAGTGTATCTTAGGAAAGCTACACCATCACAGGAGCCTTTTGTGATAAGTAGGATCCTAGGAAGCAACAACTGGCTTTCCCTCTGTGAACAACCACACTACTACAAGTTACTTAATCTTGAGCACTAATCAAGTGCTAAATACTTTGTTAGATGTTTTAATCTGTAATCCTCACAATAATTTTGGAGGATTGACATCATCATCATCATCATCATCATCATCATCATCATCATTATTGCAATAGAGCTGAAGAAACGGAGGCTTAAAGAGGTAAAGTTGTTTAATAACACTTCAGCCCAGATGTATCCAGGGTCAAAGCAGAGGGTGTGAGGGGGGACGTTAACCCTCTGGAATAGGCATTTTGGTCTGATGGATATTTTAAGAAGGAACACCCAACACCCCATAGAAAGGTTTAAAATAGTATGAATCATGATGAATATATATTCGAATTCAAGATGGCTAATGGCTCACAAAAGATGAAACAAGAACTGAAAGCACAATTTTTGTGCACATGAAAGTTAAACTTGTAGTCCCTTCCCTTAAGAAGCTATGAAAGCTGGCAAGGACCCTGAGCCATATACCTCCCTGGTTAGTAAGAAGCCACAATTAGTAAGCATTCTTTGTGTCAAGAATTGTTCTTACTCTTTGTCCTCCTGTAATGTGGCACTATTTCGGGGAAGAAAAGTACATTGTGAATCTGGACATCACTGGCGAGTGATTTAACTGTGTAATTTTACCTCGAAGATGATGGGTGCCAAATGTTCTTAAACAGCATCAGATTCGGGGTGCAAAGGAATGGAGAAGATTGAGGCTGAAGAATCGAAAAGGGCCTAGAGGGAGGGAAGGAGGATAATGTTCACACAAAATCTCCCAACAAGTCAGCCCAGGATCAACTCTAACTTCATACTAGAAAATTACTCCAGCTCAATGTGTGCACACCCATGTGTTTGCATGTATGTTATATAGTTAAATATAGTTATTAGAAAAATGAAATTGTGATGAGTCCATCTTTACCTAAATTTACTAGTTAAGAGCCTGGCAATACATCTGCTTGAAGTATGGACTCTGAGAAGCAGAGGGTGTATGTGGGGGGCTCAAACTGTTTGAAGTCATAGAAATGTAATACATCCCTATGACTCAAATGTCTGCTTTAGGCAATTACAATAATCCCTACTAGTCAGTGTGATATTGGGAAACAAATTCTTAGTTGTCCTAATTGAAAACATATGTTCATACAAACACTTGTATACAAAGGTTCATAGCAACAATATTCATAATAGCCAAGACATATAAACAAACCAAATATCCATTAAATAACGAATGGAAGAACAAGCATGGTATATGCAGATGATGGAATATTATTTAGACCTAAAAAGTAATACAGTAGATTCTATTTTATGAGGAAAACTTAAATTTAAACTTAAATTTAAATTTAAAAGGCACAAAAGGCCACATGTTGCATTATTACATTTATAAGAAAAGTCCAGAATAGACAAGGTCATAGATTAGTCATTTCTAAGAGATAGAGAGAGAGAGGAGGAGGAATTGGGACTGATGTTTTAATGTACATAGGGTTTCTTTTTGAAGTGACAGAAACATTCTGGAATTTGTGGTTGCACAACATTATGAATATACTAAAATCACTGAATTTCACACTTTAAAACAGAGTTTTATATGAATTTTATTCTTATTAAAATGCAAAAGAAAAAATCTTCATGGTCCTAATTTTCCCATCAAAGGAACAAAGAACAGAAAAACAACTGAATCAAACTACCGTTTCCTGCAAGTTGTATCCTCCAGCATTTGGGGAAAAAAGTTGTGTGGTTAACTAACATTCACTAAGCTCTTCCTCAGGCCAGGCACTGGAATGAACCTAATATATTTCTCATTTAATTCCCACACAATTCTAAGTATATGTTGGTATTCACACTGAAGAAGACTTGGTCAAAGTCACAGGTTCAGTCAGTGGCACAGCCAGGGTTTGAACCGTTTAGGTCAACTTTAGTTCAAAGCTCAGCGCTCTTGCTCATTATGCAAAAATGGCCTCCCCAGAAAACAGGGTGAGGCAGAGCTTTTGATGGGGCAACAAGGAATACAATTTTTTCTTCTTTGAAGTCTAATCCATTGTGGGGCTATTCAGAGAGTTTGCCAGGGTGGGGAGGCCTCAAAGTCTGAAATGATAGGAGCATCATTCTACTAGAACAATAGATTTAGAGATGGAGGGCGCATGACTGTGAATGAAAAGCCTCTTCATTTTCATGTTTTTCTATTCTAGGTCATGGAAAAACAAATCAAATACATATTCTACATTATAGCTGGCAATAATTATATTATTGAACTTTTGGCATTATATTTGACTACACTTAAAAACAAATGCATAACTAAGGGATAAAATTCAGATGAAGAGGAACTAGATTTAGATTTTGAAATGTTATCATGGAAACATGAAATAGTAAAAACAGAAACAAAGCAATAAATGAAATCAACAAAAGAACAAACAAACAAACAAAAACTTCAGCAATGTCACAGGAATATTAACACTTAATCTCTGGTTGCAAAATACCCCTGTAGAGCCCTAGGAAGCATTTGGGCATAACTAAAAACCCTAACCTTGAACTCTTTGCCCTCTGGGAATCCAAAGGGCAGGGGAGATCAATCCTTGTTGCTTTAAAATTTTCTGTTGAAGTAAAATGGAATATGTTAATAATGCTACTACCAAAGGGATTACCAATTATTGAACCTTAATGTATTTTTAATTAAAACTCTTTTTTAAAATTAAAACTCTTAATTAAAACTTTCAGTTTCTTCAACAGAATTCTTCTGATTTAATAGAAAAAAAAAAAGTACTTAGCTTGGCGTGGTCCTACGTACATTTTTCAATCAAGAGCCTCCAAAGGAGCTTTGTGATTAGAGCATACACTCTCAGGTCCTGTCTTTGAAAAAGCATTCTCTTATACATTTCAGACACCCAATAACTTTTTGCAAATTCAGAGAGAAAATGTCCCTGCATGGCTGCCATGTGTGTAGGCTTGAGAGATGGGAGGCAATGACAAATTTGAGGCCTCTCAGCTTTGATAGTGTTGTTTAATATGCATTCAAAGAGCTCTATGTAAATAGTACTAAGAAATTGTTACAGGATCCAACCAAGACACATTATTCTAGGAGAGGTGGATTTTTTTTTTTAACTCACAGTAGAGCTCAGCACAGATGTCTGCAATGTGCATAATATGTAAAAACTTTTGTGCTTTTCAGAACAAAAATTGATAGGTCACAGATCATTCATTCCCTCTGAGGCTAATTAGAAACTCTATTCATTTATATCCACTCTTGTTACCTCATCTCTCTGACCACAGTTTGTCCTTACTTCCTAACCCTGAGATGTATCAACTTTATCATTTTACCACCTCTGGAAAGTAGTACAAACTGAATACAGAAGATTTTTTTTTTTAAGGAATTGAGTAGGTGAATCCTTTGAGTGGAGATAATAGCATTATTATAATTATAATTATAATTATTATTATTATTATTTTGATTTTTGGTATCCAGGGTAGAACCCATGGAACCCATGACCACTACGCAATATTCCCAGTTATTTTTTTATTTGAAGACAGGGTCTCACTAAGTTTCTTAGGTCCTCACTAAGTTGCTGAGACTAACCTTGAACTTGAAATCTTCTGGCCTCAGCCACCCAAGTCTCTGGGATTACAGGCATCCACCACCATGCCCAGAATTTTAAAATAAATGCCAGCATTTTAAAAATAAGAAACATTACTTGATGTATTTAAGAAAAGGGAAAGAAACTAAGACTGATTCAAATGACCATTTTAAAGTCTGGTGCTAAAGAGTATGCTGAAGATGGAAACTAACATTGATGGAATAAGTTCAGGAACATGTCCCTTTTTTATTATTATTTGTTCTAATCACTTAGACATGACAGCAAAATGCTCTTTGATTCATTGTATACAAAAGGGGCCAAATTTTTCACTTCTCTGGTTGTACCCAAAGTAGGGTCACCAATCATACATGTACCTAGGGTAATGATGATCATCTCATTCTCTCATCTTTCCTACCCCCATGCCTTCCCACTTTGCCGCATCAAAAGAGGAACTTGTCTTTTTGAGGGGAATATTCACAGAGTGGTCTAAAACAGAATGAAGATTTAGATACTGTGTATTTCTTATCAGTGTCTCTCATTGACTCAACAAACAAATTAAACCCCACAACTTCAAAATAGCTACAGAAATATCACACACTCTTATTTGTATTTAAAAAAGCATTTCATAATTTTATTTTATTTCCTTTTTATTGGTTCTTTTTAGTTATATATCACATTAGGATTCATTTGACATAATTATAAAAGCATGGAATGTAATTTGTTCTAGTTCAGTCCCCAGTACTTCCCCCTTTCCCTCCTCCCCTCCCTCCCCCTATTCCCTTCCCTCTCCTCTACTGGTCTTTCTATTTACTTATAGCTTTTTTAAAAAAATTTTTAGGAATTCTTCTTGCTATAGAATGATACTTGAGATGGAAGAAGGCACCACCTTCCATTTAGGAGCCAGTTTAATATTCTGCTGGTGGGTCTAAAATATACCTATCAGGACATGCTAAGTCATTTGATTAGCCCACTTCAGATTTTTAATAAAATTTTAAAAATAATATACTTTATATCATACCTTTGATCATTGAAGAGTCAATTCTAGAAGTTCAAAATAACTGGAACTTTGTTCATTTTTATGGCACCACCTAAGAAAGATGGCATAGTGGTACCAGATTACAAGGAGAGATGTAATCCCAGAGAGGGGAAATAGTAGGATGCAGAGATCTGTTCTATGAGGGTCACTCAGGCCCAGGCTCTAAACCAGGGGTTTCCATTCTCATCTTTTGAGGTTCCCTGAACCCAGCATGAAGGAGGATGGGCAATACCAAAATGCTTTGTCCCATTCCCCTATCCAATTATCTATTTATCACCCACCATGCCACCTGAGGCACAGACCATTCTCTCTCCTTCTCAACCCCTGTATTGTTTCTTCTCTGCCCTGCATCATTATGTCTTCCATATTCTTTCTCAGAAAATAATAATGAAATAGTGAATGTTATGTTACATCAGTAATCTTGATGTGCTATGAGAAATGTATTCTTCTTTAAAAGACAATGAGACATCCAGGATAATAGCAAAGTTCCTGAACTGTCACTCCATAGGAAGATATCACTTATGGAGTGTGGAGTTAGCAGTTGTTAAAGAACCTGTCTAGTAACTTAACTGAATGCATGAAAAACAACCAGAGATATGGAAAAAGGTAATATTAGTTCCCCCTTATCCATGGGAGATTTTTTTTTAAGATACTCAGTAGACATCGGAAGCTGTGGATAGTGCCAAGTCCTATGTATACCTGTGATTAAGTTTGATCCATAAATTAGGAGATTAGCAACAATAAGAAAATAAAATAATTGCAACAATATACTGTAATAAGTTCTTTAAAAACATAGGAATTGTTTATTTCTAGAATTTTTCAGTTAATATTTTTGAACTACAATTTACTGTGGGTAACTGAAACCACAGAATGCAAAATCATGTAGAAGGGGAAGATTACTGCAGGTATGGTAATCTTTATTTATACTATAAAAACTTCTAAAAGTATATTAGTAGATGATAACTCAATTAAATTATGGTATATCCACATAAGAGAACATTATATGGCTACTTTAAAAGGTGATATAAATATGTATATGAGATTGATGTATATAATGTAGTGTGAAGGAAAACTGTAAAATTTGATTCTGTTTCAGTGAAAACTATAAATATATATCTATATATATAGAGAGAGAAAAAAATCTGGAAATTCACTAAAAATCAACAATTTCCATTTTTGTGAGGTTAGATTGTAACTTTTAGTTTTTCTTTATATTTGATTGCATTTTCTTAATTTTTCTGTAGTATGCATGTATTAATTTTATAAACAGGAGAAATAGTAAGGGTTTTTTCATTTTGAAAGAAAAGGAGATTGGATTTTATACACCTACGCACTCAGCCACACAAAGATGGCAACCACTGATTTATACCTTATAACCTGTGAAAATAAAAAATATGATTATGACTTTTCATTGCCCCCTGGTGGAACAATACAGTAATTTTATGGCCATCCTTACCAGCTAGATATTGCCCATGAACTATTTGAATCAAAAGTGATAACTTTATGACCAAGAACACACTTGTTCATATTCATCCTAAGCTGAATTTTGGTAGATTAGGTCAGAAAAATCCCCTTGTCCTCAGTAACAAAATTATGGATGTCCATGTTCTTATTTAAAAAGTATGTAAGTAAAAGCTATTGATCCAGTTCCTCTGGGGTAAATTCATCAGAATAGTCTGGGTTAAACCTCAAAGCTTACTTCAGTTTTGGTCATTGAAAAGAAAGAACACTTGAATCCAGGTTGAAGGTTGAATTTACTTCATTTTAAATTAGGTAAAAAAAAGTAAATACTTGGAACTATGTCTGGTACATAGTAAATTCTATATAATATTAACCATATTATTTCTCCTGTTTTTTTTTTACCCCAATAATAAGAAGCTGCAAAGAGCTGTAATCCCAGTGGCCTGGGAGGCTGAGACAGGATGATCACTTGGAGTGAGGCATCACAACAGGGAACTAAGAATGGGGACTGATTTTTTTAGAAATGCCTGTGGACACATCATGCTTACCCACAAGTCTATGCCTCTACCAGGTAATGAATTTCTACCTCGTCATGGTTTATTTCTAACTTTATTAAGGACTGGTGGTGGACTTAGTTATAGCCTACCAAATATATATATTTGGTTATGTGTGTTAAATATCCCTAAGAAAATTCTTAAGAAACAAAATACATAACTGAGACTGCATACTGCCAGGGAAGTTGGATAACTGGGAAAAAGAGGAAAGCTAATTTATTTCTTCCTGTTTTTTCTTTTGTAACTTTCATTTTGGTTCCCTATGGATTTGTTACTAATCAAAAATTAAAACTTTTGATGGACTTACAGGAAATAAAACTGTTTAATATAGAGTATGTTTTTAGAAATGGCTAGGAAACAGAACAACATATTACCCAAGTACAAAGGCACATGAACATGTATTCATAAAATTATCATTAGTATGTGGAATATAAAGGAAACTTAAATGCAAGCCCTTGACCTAAACTAATTGGCAGTCTAAAGACATACATGGTAACTAGAGCTGTACTAGGATTCTGTGTCCACACACATGAGGAATCACCTGACTTTACAGGCATTTTTGGATACTGATCTGTGAGATGGGTAGAAGGAAGATTTGGAACAACATCCTTATAGAAAGGGTGCTCATATAGCATTTCCAAATCTTATAGTATCTACCTCTTGATCCATTTTTCCCCAAATAGTAAAATCTGCAATTCTATAAAATCTACTGTGCTTTCTTTCTTCTTCCAAAGCTTTCATCCAATACTAAAAGATTGTTCTTTAGCATTGTGTTAGTCAATTTCTTGTTGCTATGACCAAAATACCTGACAAGAACACCATACAGGAGGAAAAGTTCATTTGGCTCACAATTTCAGAGGGTCAGTCTATGGCTGGCCAGTTCCATCACTCTGGGCCCAAGATGAGGCAGAACATCATGGCAAAAGGGTGTGTGGAAAAAAGTTGCTCAGTTCATGGAAGCCAGGAAGGAGAAAGGGAAAAAGGAAGATGCACCCTTCCAGGGTACCTCTTAGTGACCCACCTTCTGCAGCATGCTCCACCTGCCTACTGTTATCACCTAGTTAGTCCATTCAAACTAGTATGTACCAAAATAAGTTATAGCTCTCATAATCTAATCATTGCACCTAAGAATATTCCTGCATTAAGGGGAGATACCGCATATCCCAATCATAACAAGTATCAATGTTTATAATATGTTATTTGATTTACATTCAAAGATGCACTAAAGATAATAAGACAGAAACTATAACTATGTAAAAAAGAGAGAGAAATGCATATTTTGAACTAGATATTTTAAAAAGTTAAAACCCTATCATGTGCATAGATACAAAGACAAGAAATCCCACCTATTATTTTTCATAGCTCTAAAAGAAGCTATGAACACCCATGATGATATCGAACAAGTAAAATATGACTGATATTTGAAACCATTCGCTGTGACTCTTCACTACCAAGTGAAATATAAAAGCTTATACAAAGTTATTTCTTTAAATAAAAGATCTCATTTTTTTGGTGACAAACTTTTTACCACAATGGATACTTAAAAGAGTGGTTTCAGAAAGACTAGCATACATATTTTCACAGGGCAATAAATACAGTAAATATTTCTAATTAGATTTGACTGAGTCACAGGTTAAGAGGTTCTTATCCAGCATATCCAATGAGTGCCCAGAAGAAGAAAGAGCAGACAAGGTTACATTTAAGCTTTTGGAGAGGCTTGACCTTTATTTTAGTCAAAGAGTTCTTTCCTGTTTTGGTATAAGCATACTAAATATTTATAATTATGCTTTTAAGGAATACTATGCTATTATATGTCGATATCCCCTAGCCCCTCCTGGAGTTGGGAACACATACTGTGAAGTATAACTTCTCTCACTGCATCCCCCAATACTCTCAGAATTAAATGTTAACGATTAAAAAAAAGTTCTTATTTATGCATTCCTCATTTGGTCAAAGATATGACTAATCACACCTTACAAGTGAATCATTAAAACGTTGAGAAAACCATCACCATGCAGCTTAAACACCTTTGGCAAATTGTTTTTAAAAAATGAGGTTTGGACCACACACAGAACTTTTTTTTTCTTTCCTGGTCTTTCATCTTAATAGTTATTTTTCTCTCTTCCCAAGGAACCTGACCTGCTTTAAATCTTTCCCTGCCAGATGATGTAGTGTCTTGCATCACCTTATTAATCTAGATGCAAGGCATTCGTTTCAAACCAGAAAATCCTTGTTTAGGCTGACCACTTAATATTAAATGTCTCTTTACAATTTTAGTCATTTCAAAACAATGAAGTTACCAACAGAATAATATGTCTCATCCTGTTTATGTGAGACACAGTTTTTCCTCCATCACTAAAAGTCACACACAAGAAATTTAATTTCATATATACATCCATATAATATGATGCTTTGCCAATCCTCCTCAGATGAAATTCTATCGAGTTCTTGCCACCTTTTCTTCTAATAGAAAAATTTGAAAATATCATAGTCTGAATTTTACCTTGAGACTAGTAAAATTTTCTTGCCAATTCCATAAAAGAGCGAGGTGGAAAACTGTTCTTTCCAGTTCACTCCTGTCTCTAATAATGTAAGGTCTCTGTCTGGCCAAAGTCAAAACATACACACTCTTCAGGTGAAGGAAAAGTGGAAATTCCAGAATTTGCCATTTTGTTATGATGGTTTCCAGTGTGAGATAATTAACGCCAAAACAAACTGCCCAGAACGCGTTTTATTCCTGCAAATCCAGATGTGGATCAAGAATACCCCCCAACTTTCCGTTCTGGCAACTGTCTTATATTTCTAGACTTAAATTCCTGAGTTTTCGAAGAAGAAAGTTTTATTCTTTCTCCTCTTTCTTCTCAATGCGGACGAGTCACCTTCACATTTATTTCGAACTTGGGGTGCAGGTTGTGGGGATAAGAAGGAAGGATTGGCCTTATGTTCCCAGGAGGATTTCTGAACTATGTTTCCATTTTTTTTTTTTTCATTTGGGCCAAATTCCTCAAAGTATATAACTTTTTTGTTTTTTCCTTCTCCCTGCCCCCCACAGCAACAGCAGCCGCTCCTTCTCCTACACTCAGACCTCTTTGGGGCGTAGAAAAGAATAAAGCCATTGTTCAGAGGTGCACAGCCCAGCACAAGTCTGGTCCACAGCCGTGGCATGAACAGCATGTTGTGGTTCTTACACACCTGGGGACCAGGTGGGGATGTATCAAAACAAACTGGGGCGGAGAGTGTGTGACGGACCATTTGCAGCACTAGTTAAACCTCTTTTCAAATCTGCTCCCCTCCTCCAGCTCTTTGGGGGTATTTTTTCTGGTTGTGCTGGGTCCACCTTATGCTGGCTAACACTTCCATTATGCTTTTTTGCCCTCAGGTCTAAGCTCAAAGAAAGTTTAAAAGTTCCTCTCAAACTAAATTTGGGCCCAGTGTATTTCTGAAAGATAAATTCTCTGAGGACTTGATGGTACAGAAATATCCTCCTTTAAAACAACCTGTGACGGGATCATGGTTCTAGGGTTTGTCTTAAGCATGGTCATCCATGAATACCTGAATTTTACTTTGAATATATCCCAACTTGGTAGAATCAGGTACATGACTTACTAGGTTTGATTCTCTAAAGCTGGTAGAGGATTCAGGGAAACTAGCAGGGGCCCCCTTAGATGCCATACAATTCCATTTATTCTTGATTAAATTCTCCTAATAATACTTTGAGGTTCACCTTAGTCATTTAACAAAATAGGAAATCAAGGCCCAGCAAGGGTAAGGACACAGGTTCTGCCATCCAGAAAAATGCAGATGCAGGATCTGGATAGAGAACTTCCAATGCCTAAATCAACAGCCCTCCTTATGAGTGACAGCTACCTATGTTCTCTGGGAAGTCATTTAAATGAAACCATAAAGTCATGACAAGCAAAGCATGGCTGTTTATTGTTCTTTGTGATGTGACCTTGATGTTTTTCAAGGTCACCTATGGAGGTAATCGTGATAGCCCTTCGTGTAAGTCTTGTTTACCTTGGACAATTATTAGAGTATGGTCAGTGTGCTAGTTTAGAGAGCTGACTCCAGAGACTGTGTTTAAACTATGTCTCTACCACTAGTAAAGACATGATTTGGGGCATAGTGCTGAAATGCACTGTGCTTACCTTTCCTCAATTGTAAAAAATTGGTATAATAGCAGCACTTACCTAGCAAGGTCAATATGCTGATTAGACAATAAAATTAAACAGAATGTCTGGCAATATATGCTCAATAAATTGTTGTTATCATGTATCTACCCATCTGGGTATAAACTGGTATATTTTGTGTCACTATAAAAGAATAATAATTAAATTTAAAGTAGCCTTATATATTTATAAGAGTGTGTTTAATGGAAAGAAAGCAAAGATCTGCATTCTCAAGTTGGCTTTGATTTTACAACTCCCGGGACACGGATTCTGGGTGAAACATCTAACAACTCTGTTTCAGCTCCTTAGCTGATCTTGATACTGCTTCCATATATTTCCAAAAATATGCAATTTAATGTGTCATGACATATAGTATGTACTATGTAGCAAATATCATATATTACATTATCTGTTCACTTAAATGTCATAAAACATTCTCATTTTATGGATGATGGTAGTGAGATTTAGAGAAATTAAGCATTTTGCTCAACATCATAACCTGTTTAGATAAAGTGATGAACATTGTGTTTGGGCCTGACTGATTCAGTGTCCTGGCCCTTAACATTGTGGCTCCTACTCTGTTCAGCTAGGCACCCATTAAGAAAATCAGTAGCAACCCTCTCTGTTTTAACCATCTAGGTAAAAATAAAACCCATTATAGGGAGAAAATACTAAGTCAGCTCTCTATGAGCAGCAATGGTTATTTTCACTCCTAAGAAGATTAATACATGTGAGAAGCTAAATTTAAATCTACAATTGGCCAGAGATTAAACTAATACAACTCTGTTTTGGAAGGAAGCTTTTAAAAGGCCAGAACTAAACTCTTCAAGTTAACGGGATTCGAGCTT